CTTCCTCTCGCCACAACTGCCATCGGACCACAAGAGTGCTTCGCCCAGGGTGAAGCAGCCCCGTACCGGGAGGCTTAGGGCGTCGGCTCTTCCGGAGCAGTGAGGACTGAACGTACCGAGGGCCTAAGGTCGTGTCCTCTCCTCTACTACACCACCAGTGGGCAACAGGTTCAGAATATAATTTTATTTTTGACACAATGCCACAGCACATTTATGTTATATTTTGATTTGTATATTATACTGAAGTGACGAAGTGATTGAGTGAGTATTTACATTATTTTTTTTATAAAGGGCTGAAATTTGCTTATTTTCTGTGCCCTATTCTTTCCAATAAATAAATTCTTATGAAATTAAAATCATAGATTGAAAGAAATTTTGTCACATCATACATCGCCTTGCATACAGTAAATTCAGGGTCTTACGCGGTTAACATCATAGAAGATTCACCAATGGTTTAAGTCTATTCTCTGAAAAACCCAGTTACATGCCCCTGACACCGTTGAGGTGTTTAAAACCCTTTTCCGGCAATCAACAAGTGCCAGGATCATGAGAAGTGAGCTGTCATGAATGAGTGTGGTCGCATGGAGCACCCCGAGCACCAGGCTGTTCTTGGTAGTGCACGTGCGGCGGCAGCGGGGTGCACACCCAGACGGACGACAGTCAGGAGCCGGGCGAATCATCTCGACCATAGGCCTACGTAGACACGCGGGTGACCGGAGGAAGGTCTCGAGTGAGGGACCCGGGGAGTTAAGTGGCACAGCCAGCTCCCACGGGGTAAGAACCCGTGGGGCCGGAGCCTATCAAGCTGCGGGTGGGCCCGTAGCCTGGGATCTAACACAATGCACTTCCTAATTGCAATAATAAATAAATCACTTCTTTAACCCCTGTGCGGTCCTTCACACACACTTTTTTCAATTGTTGGTGTGATAAACATGTAGAATGTTCAGACAATGTCATGGGCATGAGAAACGGCATATCTTGTGGGTCCTGGGGTCTTCCTCGTTACATTTTGTTTTGCTGCTCTGCCGTGTTTGTCACATGCTGCCAAGACCATGTTATTTTGACATTTTTTAAAAGAAAAGTCTCTCTCTCAACTTCAGGGATTTCTTCTTCTTCTGAAGATGATTCATCATGCTCTGGCTTGTATTCCTCCCCATCTTCTTCATCTGAATCAGAGAAGTCTTGTTGGACATGAAAAAATCTGCTCTAGAGCCTATTCAACGTTATAACGCACACTCATTTTCTAAGACTGAGGCTCATGTTGCTTTGGGACATGTCCCTTCGTCTCATCTATGAGCTAGACACAGGGACAGGTGGACACATGCCTGCTGTTGACGACTGCACCATAACTGCCACTGAACAGGAGGTGTGTGGGCGAGTCCGTCCATCTCCCCTTTTAGAAACGGCATCACTTGCTTGTTTTCATACAGATAAAACTAGTTTCCTACAGAAAACAAGTGACCGATCCTCCACAAACAATAAATAGAAAATGGCGTATAGCTCAGCCAGCAGACTGAAGTCCCTTCCTGTTCTTTAGCAGATTCCGCTGTTATTGTGTGACTCCACTGACCTGCAGGTAACTGAAGGTTCAGACCATTCCACAGTTACCAGAAAGCATTCACTTTATCAGGTATGCAATTTGTGTAGGACAGCTAACGCTTTCAATCTTTCAAACATACAATCGTTCATCAAGGGATTTTTGATCTGACTGCATTAGTTTCAATCAACATAACTAAAATATCTAAAAACATGCCTGGGTAAACTTTTCCAAATTTAGGATTTATTTTTTAAATAAACGGGACAAAACTGTTCTGTATTATTCCTAGTTAGTTCCATAGTTTTGAAGGAGGGTAGAGTTGAGGGACAATGAGTCTGGTCCCTAATGTGAGGTTCTTTTTTTCATATAGCATTTACTGTATGAGAATAAAAAAGGGAACAGCATTGATCCCATTCTCTGCCTGGCTCTGTTCCAAACCAGTGTGCTCTCAGTAAACAGGCAGAGTTTGCACCAAACAAGCTGATCTGTAGTTTCACAGCCCATCATCATCAGCAGAAAGTGTCACTTAAGGTGCAGTGTCAGCTTTTTCTTCCCTCAACTCTTCTCCCGTTTCTCTCAAATTCAACGAAAGCCCAAATCACTGACAAATATTTTATTTCTCTAGAAGATTGAATGTTTGCACATTATTTTGCTACTCTTCTACATCCTAACTCGACAGGCACATCAGTGACAAATCTGAATAGACAGATAGCATTTTTCTGTAGGAATGGAACAGG